AACTACAAGTCTTCATAAGCAGGATTGAAGAGTAGAGTGAAAATTGGCCTTGTTTTCTGAGGTAGGCAGAATAATGCCCCCCGCCCCCCCGTCCATACCTAATCCCTGGAACCTGTGAATATGTTAGGTTACAAAGCAAGAGAAGGATTAAGTTTGTGAAAAAATTATGATTGCTAATCAACTGGCCTTAACATACACAGATTATTCTACAATATATCAGATTAAATTGGGGTGAGCCCAATGTAATGACAAGGGTCAATGTTAGAGAACTGCGGTGTTGCTAGCTTTGAAGATTGATGAAGGAGCCATAAGGACTTTGTGTTATTTAAGCCACTAAGTTTGAGATAATTTTTTACAACAGCCATAGAAAATTGATAAAGCTCCTAGTATAAAAAATGAAAACAGGGATGAGCTCCTATTTTTGTTGTAGCAACTTTAGAATTAGTAAATAGGACTCCTTTGAAGACCAAATTGAGAGGAAAAATTGTAAAAGTGAAAAATCCTGACACGTGTTGAGATTTAAGACATCCCTAGCTTGTTTGGATGAGGCTTTGAAATCCAAATCAAGTCCTCCCTTTAATCTCTTTAATAACAACTTCTTCAATTGCTCAGAAGTCATTAACTTCACCCATTCCCAACTATTTCCTCTGTGGAGGATAATTGGACCTTAAATTCTCTGCAAGGTTTTGACTAATGTTTTGGAGATGAAGGGAACTTCAGTTATTCAAATACTTACTTTCCTGTCCACCCATACCTGTAAAATATGAGTCTAATGGGATTGGGTTACACTCTTTTTCTGCCATTATTTGTTAAGAGTTAGTTACAGGATACAAAACCTGCCCATAACTCTTAATTTTTAGTTAGGCTATCACATAATGTAAAGGCCATCAAGCTTTGAGAATTCAGATGACCTTGAAATTATTCGACAATGTAGTTCACCTTAAAATTTTGAAATGTATACAGTTGAATAAACCCAAAAATATAAAACATAAAAAGTACATTCGTTTAACATATTATATAACTTAAGTTAATAAATGATATTGAATAAGTTTATGAACATTGCAATATATATTTTATTCTAAAAAATAATAATTTTAGAAAACTTTAAATTGTGTATCGAAACTAGCTTATAGTTTTTAATAAGATCAGAAAGCAGATTTAATGCATGTAATTTAGTGCCTATCCTGTTATTGCTCTGTCCCCTTTGAATAAAAATTGAACATAAACTATAGTGTTTTTACTTCAATCAGCAAAACCTGTGCTATCTAGATGTTTATATTTGTTTTGTTCACTGCTGGTTAGATTCTAAAGAGTAAATAAGTCTCCAGAGGAACATTTCCCCTAGATTTGCAACCTTTTATCACATTAAAGTAAAATAGATTGTCAGTGCTTAAGTAAAAGAATACAAGAGTGTTGATTTCCTTTGTAGGGATGTTTAATCATTAAAGATGAAACATTAGAGTATGTGAGTCTAAACATTAAGATCAAACAAAGGCAATATCAGTGTTTGTTAGCTTATATTGTATTATATAAACATTTGTGAACTTGTTCTAGTCAAACATTTTTAATGGGAATAGGGTAACTGAATTCTTTAAAACAAATCTCACCAAAGAGTTTAGCTTTTTTCTTTTTCGATTTGTATTTTATTAGTCAGAGTTATTGTATTTTTCAAATTTATACATTAAAAGCTTTTAAGAAAGATAAGCGATTTTATTTAGAGATTATAACATGATTGGTAAGGATAGAAGATTATTTCATGTCTCCATATCTCTAAATTCTATGAAGCTATTCCCCAGATCATTAAAAGAAAGACAGGTTAAAAAAAAGCATAGCAAAAATTTGCTTTTAAATCTTACAACTGACTTTTAAAACCCTCAGTTATTTAAAGCATAAGACAAATTTACAGAGAAACATGGTAATATTTTATTCAATTGACTTCTCTTTGTTTTCAGAAATTATACAGATAACATACATAGCTTAGTTATTTTAAAGGGCTTTCATAATTTTTTTCAAGCTGGTATTATGCTACATTTCTTTAATGGCAAACAGTGATATAGGAAATTTGTAAGATCTGCTGACAGAACTGTGTCATGCACAGCAATGTTTCTATTGAATCAATAGTTTAGCATGAGATCATTATGTTATTCAAACAATCCGAACATTTGTATCTATTTTGATCATTAGTGTCTGCCAAGAAGAGAAAGTAAAGTAATTGAATTACTACTCCCCTTGTTTTTCTGCCTTTTTTTTTTTTTTTAAGAAAAATGAATGAGAGAAGCGTCAAATCACCTATAAAGGAGCTCCAATCAGGTTAACGTCAGACTTCTCA